CACAGAAGCAAAGCCCAAACCACACCCACTGCCTGGAGTCCATTCTGACCCACAGCGCCCCTAGAGGACAGAGTGGAACTGCCCCACAGGGTCTCCCAGGCTCTCAGTCTTCAGGGAAGGCCACTGCTTCATCCTTGTCTGGTGGAGTGGCTGGTGGGCTCAAACCACCACCTTTTTAATTAGCAGGTAAATGCTTTCACCACTGTGCTGACAGCTCTGTGACCTCAGTGAAGCTGTTAGGAAGTGAAAGTGCACACAGAGCGCCCTCTGCAGGTTCTGTGGAGGCTTAGAATATTGCCTTTGAGGACTGTGCACCTGTGACACCTGATGGCCAGGGAGAGGCCCCACCCCATGAAAAACACAACCAGTTATATCATATCACCAAGTCACGTGCATCACACTGTACCGTACTGAACCCTGGTGCACTACGGTAGGCCAGTCACCAGTCACACCAGTGCAGCTGGACTGTGTGTGTAGGCCATGTCAAGCTGCAGAAGCTGGTGAGTCTTCATCATTGATATTACTGGTTGGTGGCTGTTCATTTTACTTGGATCTACAATCAACACCCACAGAAGCAGCAGTAGACATCAGACGACGTATAGCACTGGGCAAATCTGCCGCAAAGGACCTCTTTGAAGTGCTGAAGAGCAAAGATGTTTCCTTGAAGACTAAGGTGGACCCAACCCAAGCCATGGTATTTTCAATCACCTCATATGCATGTGAGAGCTGGACAATGAATAAGGAAGACTGAAGAAGAGTTGATGCTTTTGAGTTGTGCTGCTGGCGAAGAATGCCGAAGGTGCCATGGACTGCTAAAAGAACTAACAGATCTGTCCTGGAGGAAGTGCAGCCAGAATGCTCCTTGGAAGCGAGAATGGCCAGACTTCGTGTCACCTCCTTTGGTCATGTTGTCAGAAGGGACCATTCCCTGGAGAAGGATGTCACGCGTGGTAGGGTGGAGGGTCGACGAAAGAGGGGGAGGCCTTCAACAAGATGGGTTGACACGGTGGCTGCAACAGTGGGCTCAGGTCTAGCAGGGACTGTGAGGCTGTTGCAGGCCCAAGCAGCATTTCGTTCTGTGGTCCACGGGGTCGCTATGAGTCGGAGCCAATGACAGTACCTCACAGCAACACCCTGTATTGTCGCCCTTTAACGCTGTATCATAGGTGTCCCTGGGGGTGCAAGTGGTTGACACCCTTGGCTGCTCACCAAGGTGGAGGTCTGAGTCCACCCCGCAAGGCCTTGGAAGAAAGGTCTGGTGAGAGGCCAGTGAGAGCCTTCCAGAGAGCTGCTCGGGGTGGATGCACGTGGGGCCTTCAGGAACCGGCCTGAAGGCAGCCGGCTCCATGCATATGATGCTACAGGGGTGTGTCTACATAACACTACAGGGGTGTGTCTCTGTGACACTACGGGGGTGTGTCTGCTGAGGGGCACACAGGTGTGTGTGGGCGGCAGGGGCCGGAGCCTCCAAGTCAGTGCCACCAGCCAACAGGCCCTGCGCTGTGTCTTTCACTGCCGCTGGCCTCCAATTCGCGGCAACACCCTGGAGAAGAGAAGGAAGCAGCCCCGGGCCTGCGCTGTCCCCGTGACGGGCTGAGCCTCGGCCCGTGGGACCCTCAGGACTGCACTGGCAGGGTCCCGGAAGTAGCTGGCAGGCCTTTCTTCCTGGTCACCCTGAGCTTAGAAGCTGTGCTGAGACTGCTCGTGTCATGACAGCACAGGCCCCAGTGAAGGGCGGGCGGTGGGTGTGCGTGTGGTGCCTTGGCCGGACTTGAGCCTGGGTGGGTTCAGAGGAAAGTGCCCCGTCGGGCTTCCGAGGCTGCGAAGGAGGCAGGCTGCTACACCTTTCCCCTGCGGAGCGGCGGGTGTGTTCAAACTGCCGCTCTTTTGGTAGCAGATGCGCAGTGAACCACGGTGTCACCTGGGACCTGGATTGGGACGGAGGAAGTAGAGATTCAAGGAGAGGAGGGAGGTCGAGCTGGCCTGACGGCACGTTGGCTGGCACCTGTGCCCAGCATAGGGTCCCTGTCACCGGGAAGGAGACTGGCCAGGCAGGATTACCAGTCTCCAGGAGATACCACTGGGAGGAGACCCACCAGCAGGCACCATGCCAGGTGAGGAGGGTGCCGCCTCTCGGCTATGCTGGGTCCCGTGACACCTCCCGCCCCTGCCCATCCCTCTTGGCCAGCGTCGTGTGGTGGGAAGGGGAGTGGGCGGGAAGGTTGCTCTCTGTGCCCCACCTGTGGACTGGGATGACAGCACGGGGTCCAGGTGTGAGGCGTAAAGAGGATGAAGGGACTGAACCCACAAATCCACGGCAGGGTCGGGATGGCGGACGGTGTTCTCCTGGGACACGGGGTGTGGGAGGGGGGCCTTTCAGACCCTCTGCGTGCCTCCCTGGCTGTTTGGACTTTTTGAAGGGGTGCAGGGTTCAGCCAGACCCTCTCCCACAGAGGCCTGGGCAGGGCAGGGGCAGCTGGTGACTAGCTGCCCGGCTGACCCCCACAAAGATGCCCCCACAGTGAGGGGCTCGGTAGGGGAGTGCCCAGCCCTTGAGGGCCTCTCGGAGTGGGATTGAGAGCCGCGCTGGGACCCACAGATCTGGGTTTGAACCCTGGCTGTGTGGGTCCGCCTTGCCCAGTGGTGGGGCCAGTGGGCCAGTCCAGCGCCAGACCTCTACCCCGGGCTCAGGACCTGGATGACACTGTCAGCACTCAGGTCATTAATCCCCCTCCCACAGTCGCCAGATGGCTTCCTGTTTCCTGTGGGATCTGAGGACACTCAGGGTATCTGTTGTATGCCAGCCCCAGAGACGCACGGAAAACCCAGACAAGGTCACTCGGGGTCCAGCAGTGCCACCCTGGCCCGAGGCGTGTGACTTCGTGGCAGACACCGGCCGGGGAGCCGCCCCTCTGGGAACTGCTGGTCTCCTGGGAGTGGCTGGGGGTCGGCCGGATGCCTGCTACCCCCCAGCATTCCGGTCGGGAAGGGCCGGGCTCTTCCGCTGCTGAGATAACCGCCTTCCCCAGGGATGCTGGCAACGGACACTGCATGAGTTCCGGAATTGCCAAAAGCTGGTGCCGACGGAGCAACGTGCGGGGGTCCACGTGACCACCCTGCGTGGGTGGAGGCCTGTCCCGCCCCGTGATGTGCAGCCCGGCCTGGGGGAGTGTCCTGACCCCACCTGGCAGGGGACAGGCTGTCCCAGGTGGGACTTTCTGCCACTCCCACGTCCTTTCCCTCGGGGACCTTCTGGTGGCCTCCTGGGCTCTCCCGGAGTCCCTGGGCGGCCCAAATGGGGGACATGTTCAGCTGGTCACTGAGGTTGGAGGTTTGAGCCCAACCAGCTGTACCCGGAAGCAGGCCTGGTGGTTGGCTCCCACGGAACCAGCCATCGATGGCTGCGGGCCCAGTTCTGCTCCAAGCAGATGAGGTCGCGGGAGTCGGGTCGACTCTGCAGCTGGTTCAGGGGTCCGCTCGTGCCCCTCATCTGCGGGGAGGTGGGGGCCTGGGCCATGGCTGCTCTCCGCCCTGCTCCCTGAGGGCGGGGCTCCAGGTGGCCCTGACCTGGCCTTTGGGACTGACCCTGCTGGGTGGCTGCTGGGGACAGTCCCGGGGAGCCCGTGCCTCGTGATGGGGACGTCAGGTCATCAGCCCGCTCCACGCACAGCCTCGGGGAGCAGGCCCCCCCCCCCCAGCAGTTGCCTGGCTGGAGACTATAATTAGCATGTGGCCCTTAAGTGGGTTACAGAGGAAGCTGATCTCACCCACGTGGTTCTGTGGGACTTTCCAACAAGTGACAGTGGGGAAGGGTGGCCAGGGGGGTCCAGACTGATACCCAGTCCCCTAGGGGAAGAGTGGTCTTGGGGTGAGCGACACGCCCTGGTGGGCTGGGGGAACGGACAGGTCGTGAGGCTGTCTGTGCACTGAAACCCTAAGAGCAGCTGCAGAAGCCCCTGTGAGAGGCTGAGCGGCCGTGGGAGATGGGGCCCGTGGTGAGGGAGTGGGGCAGTGTCCGGCGAGGACGGCGGGCACTGCCCGGCCACCCGTAGGATCGAGGTGGACGCCGCAGGACGGGGCCCGGAGGTACAGTTTTTTGTCATTTTAAAGGTATTAGGTTACGAAACAAAACCCACAGGCAGGATGTGTGGAAAACAAATCCCACGCTGTGTTAAAGTCACGCATGCTTGTCTACGTGATCATGCATGTAAGGTACACCCAACACATGTTGCGGACCCGGGGCCACACTGCCAGCACCTTTGAACTGTGGCCCGTGTGTGACTTTAGTGGCCCGTGTGTGGCTTTGGTGGCCCATGTGTGACTTTAGTAACCCGGTGAGTGAGTGGATTTCAAAGGTTTTCTCCCCAATAGTGAGGTGCTGAGTGACAGGTGCTGAGGGCCGCTGGGGTGTCCAAGGGTGTCCCGTTTGAGTCCCTGGGTCATGCACACGGTAAATGCATTCAGCTGACAACCAAAAGATTGGTGGTTTGAATCTACCCAGAGGTACCTGGGAAGACAGGCCTGGGAATCTGCATCGGAAGTATCAGCCCCTGGAAACCCTGTGGGTTCGGGGTTGCTGGGAGTTGGAGTCGACCGGTAGAAAGGAAGTCCGACTGGATCCGTCCGGTGAGGCGGTGAGGCGAGGAGGGCTGCAGGCCGCGGGCTGCTCGGCCCCTTGGCTCCTGGCCCTGGCTCTGCCCTCGTCGGAGGAGCTGGGCCCACGTGGCCCTGGGGGTACAGTCTCTTTCTGCCGGAGGCCCCCGAGGTGGCCCTGGGCACAGACCCAGTGCCCCTGCGGGAAGCACAAGGCATTGACCGCCTCCAGGAATGTGATGATTCACAAAAAGTTTCTTGGCAGAAGCAGTTGAGTGAGGGGTCCGAGAGGAGGTCGTCCTGGGTCGACGGCAGGTGCCCTCACGTCGGTGGGGAGTCAATCATTTGGGAGTTTGTTTATAATACGTTGTTGCTAAAGCGTGAACCAACTGTTCAGATGAGCCCGGGAGAGGGGGACGTGAAAGGGCCTCCCGTTCGAGGGGCTGCTGCTCACGTGTTCTGAGATTAAACGTTCATTAAAATGTTCTGGGTGGCTGGGCCCTGTTCTGTCCTGTGAACTCACCAGCACCGTCAGGCCAGTCTTGTTCTGTTGTGGACACTTAGGCCATTCTGTCACAGCTGCCCCGGACATCGAGTCCAACCCCGACTCCTGGCCAGCTCCTGAAGCCGACAGCTTCTCCTGGGCCCTTGGGGCCGGCACTGAGGCAGGATCACAGCTGAGGGAGGCCCCGCCGTGTTGATGTCCCCTCCAGACGGGAGCCTTCCCTCGCCCTGGGGGCAGCACTGGGCTCACCATCTCCCAGGCTAAGGGGTCACAGCCCTGTGTAAGGGGGCTGCCCGCTGCTTGAGGGTCTGTTCCATGTCATTACCATGGCCAGGGGCTGGGTAAACCCCGGCTCAGGGCTGAAAGAGGCCAGCAGTGAAACAAACCTGCTGCTTTGTTTGTCTCTTCCTGCGTGACATCCCTACCTGGCAGGCTCTGAGGCAACCCCTGGGCTGGGGACTGAGATAAATCACACCTGGCCCCCTCCTTCCAAGACCCTTCCTGTCTAAGGCTATATGGCCACGCTCAGCCACCTCAGACCTGAGTCCATCGCATCCCACATGTGATCAGAGAAGGAAGAAGGGGATGCTCTTGTCAGCCTGGGGAAATCCCAGAGGACTTCCTGGAGGCAGTGACACTCCTAAAGTCCCAGATCACCTTTGGGGTCTCCAAGGCTGTCAATCTTCACAGAAGCAAAGCCCAAACCACACCCATTGCCCTGGAGTCCATTCCGACCCACAGCACCCCTAGAGGACAGAGTGGAACTGCCCACAGGGTCTCCAAGGCTGTCAATC